GTAAAGGAGGAGTTGCTAAGTGCTGTATGTAAATAACAAGTGATCTCTGTACCAATCTTTGCTCAACTCTAGTGTAGAAAATTATACAGCAGGAAAATACCTATAATCTCTCCTTAAATTGGAGGATCGTGCCCTAGAATGGGAAGGCAAAGCTGCCTCTCTGTTTTCCACCAATAATTTCTAATCTGTAGTGGGTAAAAATTGATTTTGCTGGATGCCAAAAATTTGATAGCAATAGTGAGGCTTTCTGGCTTTAGTTATTTATAAGTTTTCAAACTTTCTGTGTGACATTTGATTGATTGAGAGTGACACTCTGAAGATAAACATGAAATTATTGTTCATATCCTTCTTAAGGATTTGCAAGACCTCATTTTTCGATGTTTCCCGTTTTCAGGATATGCAAGAAAGATTTTCTTGTTCCACATTCCACTACTATAGCAACTAGCATTTGAAGCACAAAGTGCTACGTGCTAAGATATTTATTCCACCTACATACGTCTTTCTAGTTCTTTTCAATATTGGATGTGGTTTTCAATCCTCTAGAAATGATGAAGGCCAAGGGACAGGCTTGAAGATTAACTCCCTAAAAGTAGCTGATGGGGTTATTCTATTCCAGAAAATGCAGTATTGAGAATGTGGATTATAAAGTTTATTGTTTATACCATCTCTGTATTGCTTGTTACAACTAAGCATCATTTTCTCTGTGTGGATAAGTGTTGCTTAACTAAAGCATCATATCTGCAAGGCTCTTTTGCCATCTGAAAATAGCTAGTGGGTGTTCACTTTTCCCAACAGAAAGTAGCACAGTCCCAGGTGAAACAGAAGGCTGTGCAGCTGTATGAGAAACTTCATGAGCTCGAGGAACGTCGAGATCAAATGATTGCTGAGGATAAGAATTTGGAATCTCCACAGGAGGAAAGAGAAAGATTACTAAAGCAGGCAAGAATGTACAATGTTATAATGTAAAAGAGTCAGTATTTTAAGGGATGATAATATTTGAAAATACCTGGGTTTGAATCTTGAATCTTTATTTGCTCTCTGGGCAGAACAAATCACCTGAAATTAAAAACAGTTAATGAATTGCCTGGAGGGGGTATTTCAGATTCAGCCAAAGCTTGGTCTATGCCAGTTCATTAGCCATGTTGGTATGGGAAAGCCAATCCTATCCAACAGCTCTGTCACATAGCTCCAGACAATGTCTTTGTGTGGTACTGAGAAGTTGTACTAATGCAGGAGCAATTCAGTTGATTTGCAAAGGTCTGTTCTGTAACTATCCACATGGAATATATAGGTCATTGGACTTAATGGCACTGAGAACTGTGTCTGATTTTCAAATGTGTATTGAGAAAAGAGGATAACAGTTGGAAGACGTAACGCTTAATACCATATCAATTTCTTCAATGAAGAGCCATTGTTGGACAGTGTGACAGCAAGTTTGTGATTTCATATGCAGAGTTTCTGTTCCCTCTATAATGAATTAAGAAATCTTCTTTGATTTTCCTTTTTTCATTTATAGATGTTATTTTGTATGTTACCATTCTTACACTTTTTTTGTAGATTAAGGACGATAGTCAAGAAATAGCAAGCATGGAGAGACAGTGAGTAATCCTGTTATACTGTTGCTGGAAGTTGTGTTGACTCTAAAGACAGATAGTTGAATTCCATCATATGTTTCTATAGACTTTTTGAATATCACTACATTCTCAAGTCTCTGCTAGTGTTAAACTTCCACAAAAATCAGAATATATCCTTCTGTTTCAGCTAAACAACATATATAGTGATAGGACATTTAGAGCTGCATAAGAAGACATTTTCTATCCTTATGAACATGCCTTGAGAATGTAATAGCACTGATATAAACTGCTTTAAGGCTGAAGAACATATTAATCCCTAAGTGCTAGTAATCTGGGATACCAGTGATGTTAAACCTACTTTACCCTGCGGTGACATTTTGAAGAGTTTGTTTGTTATGTGTTATTAAAAACTAAGAGATACAAAGTTGCTTACAGAAGGTTCAATTCTGTGGAGTAACAGCATTGCTTCTATGTTTTTGGGCACTGGACTTTTCTGTAGATTTGCCAGAAACCTTGATAAATGTTATTATCAACATTTATATATCTGGGGGGGTGAGTGGGATATAAAACAGTATAATATTTTTTGTGATTTTGAGCCTTTTGGTTTCTCTCTCTTCAGAGAAAAATTGCGATAAAACTAGAAATCTAGAAACAATTTTATATGCTTTTAAGCCATATTCCCAGCTGTAATAAAGGGTTAATTTTTAATGCATTGGCACCTTTGAGTGGGTAATAACTTGATTAATGGGATTTTTTAAGCAACAGTAATAGAATCATACTCGAGAATTTACATAGAAATACTTTAAGGTAACTTTCTTCCTCACTTTGTTTGATTACCTAATATAATGTTTTACTTTGCAAAGTCTTCATGTATGTTAGTGAACACATGGTCAGTTTTTAAGGAATACAGTTCCTTCATGCAGTTTACTAGTTATGTTGTATCTCTGCAGAGCTGTTTAGCAACCAGCAGGGGGACTAATTGAGTAAGTTAAAAACAACAGACGATTCAACAAAAAACGTTTTTAATAAAAAGAGCAGCAATACTAATATTTAATAGATATATGGACTAATATCACAGGTGCTTTACTTATACCTTTTATAATAAGAACAGTCCTGATTTTCTCTTGTTTTTGATAAACTTAGGTTTGCTATTTTTATTCTTCATTTTTTTCTCTGTTTTCCTCTGAAAAAAAAAAGTATCTTACAATGCATTTTTAACTTTGGATTTCATTATCTATATGTCAGGCTGGCAGAAGTAAATGCAAAAACAAGCCATTTTAAAAAGGTCATTCAACGACTTGATATGGATCTGGAGAATCATCAAGGTAATATAACTAGAGTTATAGCACGCTATGCAGAGCTGCATCTGTTTATATTGTAACACATTTTGTAATGGATATTAGTTGCTTGAAAGTTTTAGGCTTATGCAAGTGTCCATTATTCACCATCAAAAGAAGGTTTTGTGTCTAAGTATGTAGGCTTTTTTCAGTTGTGAGAAATGGGGAGTACCAATTCCTAGTGGCACATTCATGATGTTCATATTGTGTAGTAAAGCTACCATATAAAATAATTGTACAGCTGTCTGGTTTTCTGTCCAAATTTTATTTTCAGGACTACTTGAGGAATAGAACTTTATCTTACTGGCAGCATTTCAAAACCAGCTCAGCTTTAGAAGAGCTTGAATTTCTTTTACCTTTTACATTATCTGATACACTGTCAGTGAATGTGGATCTGAGAATGTTTAATAGTAATGTGTAAAGCAGGCAGGATTCAATACTATTTTTGTATGGCTTTGAAAATTTTAGGGTGGATCTTTACAAGAAGAGTTTGGGAGCTGCCTAGAAATGGCATTAACTTACAAACCTACCTTCAGCGAACACCTGCTGTAGTACATTGGGCTAGGTTAGGTTGGGATTTGTGATAGCACTGAAAGTTATGGTTCTGGAGGAAGTAGCTTAGTTTGAACATGGGCTCTCAACAGCTGTGGAAGGTTCTCCTTAAATTGGAAATTCATCCCACAACAAAATTTTCTAGTTTTAAGGAACATGGTTTAGCTGGGAGTTACATAAATACATGCATGCCTTCTAGGAAACCTTGTAATGAGTTTCTTAAATTCTATAGGACTGATGAATTAATGTGTTTGTGTCCTTTTTACTTTATACTTTTTTGTGAGCAATCAGTATAAAATTTAGCTGTAAATTTCTTTAACATGAGCAAATATTTTTTAAATTGACCCTAAGCAAATGCTTCATATATTTGTTTCTCATCTTTTGCATTACAAAATATTGCCTGTTTTTCCAAGTCCTTAATAATTTTTTTTTGCAAATAATTTTTTAAGATTGTTTTATTAGCTTTTCTATTTCTGATAATGTAGTTGCCAACTTCAGTCTTCTGCTTTAATTTCTCCCTTTTTGTTTGGCTTATAACTTTTTTTGTATCTTTGGAGAAATAGAAAAGGCAAGAAGTGAGTTGCTTTTCACATTGTATAGTCAGGATAACAGACAGAATCCTTCCTTGCTTCACTGTTTGTCTTTCACTGCTTCAGAAAAAGACCACTGTTGAAGAGGGTTTTAATCATATGTAGGAGAAAGCATATGCTCTCTGTCAGCATATCAGGAACAGTCAGCATATTCAGAATAAAGTTACCTTGGTTTATAATGTAGAAGGATTTATACCTGTTGGTATAACATAGAGTGAATAAGGAAGATATTAATAGGCAGTAGGTTCAAGACACAGAAGTCTAAACTGCCAAGACCCTCTTCTCCAGTGAATGGAGAGAGAGAAATGCAGACAGCTGTTCATACTTCTGCTCTAAATCAGCATCTTGGAGTTTCCTTGAGATTCCTTCCTCCTTCCCTCCCTGGTCAGCTTCTGGCACAGTATTTTAACTGTTTATTACAAAACATTCAGCTCCTAAAGTTTTCTTGTTAAATTTAAGGAAAAATAGCCAATAAAAAAAGAAATTGAGGATTTTTTTAGATGTTTCAGGATAAATATTTCAGTGCTAGGACATTTTTTAGCAGGAAAAACAGAATAAAGAGACCATAAATAGAAAAAAAAAAAATCTTTATTTTTCACTTCAGAAAATGTAAGGAAGTGAAAAATTCACCCACATATTATATGTTCCATATATTAGCCATTACCTTTAACTGATTAGTCAAAATCAACATTATCTCATCTCATAATGAGATAGACACAACACTTCATAAATTGCAGAAGATGCTAAGATAATTATATGATAATGCTATATATTAAAGAAAACTTCTCTGTGTCATTTTAAAGTTTCTTGTGTTTATTTCAGATTTTTTTTTCTTTAAACACTTGGCAGAACATGTAACTCTCTTGTTTCATGTCTTACTGTAACTGTATGTTTTAAGAATAGAACAAACTGAGTTATTAAGTACTGGAGACGTGTCTTGCAAAATGAGAGTCCAGCAAGTAACAAAGCCACAGCTGCAAGGAAGCTGAAGCAGAGTCACAGTCCCTTAGGGCCCCCAGGGTGTTCTTGCTGTTTGTGTATAATAGATAAAAAGGAAAGCATGGGTGTGTACAAGTAAAAAGACCTGGAGAAATTTGCCTGCTCAGTTATATCTGTATCTACTTCATTTGTTTTCTTTGTATTCTTCAAGGTTACAAGATTAAGCTGAAAATGTATCAGTGATCAAGACTCAAACAATAAAAAATTTAGATGTTTGAAATTTCAGATTATTCTTGGGCACTTAATAGTCTCATGTTCTTGAAACCTGTGACAGATACCAGGTTTCCACTTTACTAGTATATTTTAAGTAAGAGCTATTTATAGTCAGTAAATGGATTTAAAGAGGGAGTGAATTATATATTGTATGTTATTCATTGCTCCTAATGCCACTACAAAGAATGTGCTTGGAAATGTTCTTTAAACTTAATTTTATAAGTCTTTCTCTGCAGTTTATTTTCCTCTGTCATTACTTGTATGGTTTTCCTGTTTGTTTCCCTGATACTGTCACACTGTTGCTTACAAGCTGTGTATCCTTATGAAAGTCCTTTCTAATACATGAAACTACCATTGAAATGGCTCATATGTTAAACAGAGCTGTAGGAAGTTTAACTATCCATGGTGCCCAAATACAACAAAGATTTGTCCTCTATTATTGAAATTCACCTAACGTCAAAAGAACTTCCTTTGTTCAAACCAGATTTTTATCCCGCTCTTATTTATTAAAAATTCTAACCTCTAAAAGGTTCTAAAAATGTAATTGAGGCTGATTTATGAAGCTAATTATATGTATTTTTTAAAATATAAAACTGTATGAAATAGTTGAAACAACTACGTTAAATGACATGGGATGAGTCCTGTAGTTTCTAGGCATGTAGAATTTTTATTTTTAAAAATAACATTTTGCCTACCTAAAGGAATCCGGGACTGCGGCTATAGGAAGTTAAACAAATGTTGCATCTCTTGCAGGAGATGAAAATTGGAAATACAAGGAGCTGAAGAAGAGGGAAGAGAGCATGGACAGTAAGTTGTCTAATATGCTTTAATTCGACCTAATTCTTCTAAAGTACAACATTTCTTGTATTGTTTAAAATGAACCCTATTGCTAGGATATTGTAGTAGACAGCTTACAAAAGTTGGTCAGTTACTCAGTAAAAGAAATATACCATGAAGGCCAAAGCGTATTATTTATTTTTTTTTACAATGTTGTCGAAAAATGTTCAGTATAACTTACAGATAGTATGATACTGAAAGAAGCTTATCAGCTGACAATGAGGAAAGATGGATAAGAGTGCACTTAGAGAGTCCTTTCATTTTCAAATTACCTGATTTCATGAGAAACAAGGGCAAAAGCTTACTTGATCTGAATTTTCAGTATTAATACGGTTTCTGAAAGCAAAGCCTCACTGTCATTCTGATTATTGCAGAAAAAGGAAGAAGCAGCAGATGATGTGTACTTTGACTTCAGTACATAATCCTCTGCTGTCTCATGGTATTTTTGGAAGCAACCTAGGGAAATATTTGCCGGTATTAACCTATACTGTGCATTTGATTAAAAAGTTATTAATTATGAAGGATTCACTGCCAAGATGTCAGGATTCATTGAGAAGAGTTTTGCAGTGTGTTAGATGTTCAGATTTGTCAATATTTTTATTAATCAGTTGGATGACAGGACAGAGAGGAAATACATTGTGTCCCAGGAAGTGCTACATTGGAAAAGCTGAAATAATGTTAGTGGACAGGATTGGAATTTAAAATATTTATTGCAGATTAGAAATTAAGTACAAAAAAGTCAAAAAGGATTAAGTGTAAGTTTATACAATTGGGCAGAATAACAGCAAAACTATAGAATAAGGAACAATGCGTAAGGCACAGCTCTGTGTTGGGAAGTGGTAGCTGAGAAGGCCAATGGCACCCTGGCTTACATTAGGAACGCTGTGGCCAGCAGGGATAGGGAGGTGGTCATCCCCCTGTACTTGGCACTGGTGAGGCCACACCTTGAATATTGTGTTCAGTTCTGGACCCTACACTATAAGAAGGACATAGAAGTGCTGGAGCATGTCCAAAAGAGGGCAGTGGGGCTTATGAAGGGCCTAGAGCACAAGTCCTGTGAGGAGCAGCGGAGGAAGCTGGGGTTGTTTAGTCTGGAGAAGAGGAGACTGAGGGGAGATCTCATTGCTCTTTACAACTACCTGAAAGGAGGTTGGAGCGATGAGGGGGACAGCCTCTTCTCCCTGATGATCTGTGATAGGACCAGAGGGAATGGGTGCAAACTGTACCAGGGGAGGTTTAGGATAGGTATTAGGAAGCATTTCTTCACTGAAAGGGTTGTCAAGCACTGGAATGGTTTGCCCATTGCAGTGGTGGAATCACCATCTCTGGAGGCATTTAAACGGCATGTGGACCTGGTGCTTAGGGACATGGTCTAGTGATGAGCTTGTGGTGTTAGATCTAAGGCTGGACTAGATGATCTTGGACATGTCTTCCAACCAAAGAAGTTCTGTGATTCTGTGTAAACTTGTCAGAGACACAAAGTAATCTTACGCGCTGAGGAAGGCTTCAGTTGGAATATTGTCTCTACTTCTGCAGATAAAGAAGGAAGTTGCCAGTCCTAAAGAGGGAGTTTTGTTCTTGTTTCGTATTTTTGAATGTGTCTGTAAGTATAATTAATGTCTATAAGTATGTAAAGAGTGGGTGCAAGGAGGATGAAGCCAGAGTCTCTTCAGTATTTCCCAGTGACAGGATGAGGGGCAATGGGCACAAGCTGGAACATAGGAAGTTCCACCCAAATATGAGGGAAAACTTCTTTATGATGAGGATGGGAACAGGCTGCCCAGGGAGGCTGTGGAGTCTCCTTCTCTGGAGATGAATATTCAAGACCCAACTGGGTGCAGTCCTGATTGATGTGCTCTAGGCAATCCTGCTTTAGCAGGGGAGTTGATTGGATGATCTCTAGAGATCCTCTCTAACTCTGACAATTCCATGATTCTATAAGAATTATTTTATGGTGGTGCTTTTATTTCAGTCCTCTGCCTTCCGTACATATATCTTGTGGAAGTTTCAATTGCCTGCAGCAAAAAAATAGGTTTATCAAGATATTGCTATCAACTTATTGAAGACCACTTGTTAAGATGCATCAAAGGCCATGGCATCATCAGTTATGTTGAAAAAGAGTGGCTCAGAACCCCCATAAGAGATGTGAATGAAGGCTTTGCTTACTAACAGAGCACTAAATAGTTAAATGTGATTAAAAGTTTGATGTGTGTTCGACTATCTGATTGATTTTCTTTTAAAAATTACCAACTTATTTTTTTAACAAAGAAGGAGAGAACAGCTGAAGTATTTTCAGCACAAAACATTGAGCAGCAAATTCAATACTATTGCTTTCATTACTGCTCTTCCCTTCTGTTGTGCTCAGATATTTTTTTTGTGTAGAAAATTTCTATCAGTAGTTCACAGCAACAGATGGTATGAAGTACCTAGTAAGTGCCCTTTGGGAAAGGAACTCTTTTTGGAGCTAGTGTTGCTCCTCTGGTAATTGTGCGATCTTTAGGATAAAAGCAGAGAAGCTCATTCTGAAGAGAAGAAACATCACAGAGACAAAATAGAACTTGTCTTTTTAAGGATAGTTTCATTTACAGCCTGGATACAGGAGAAAAGTAGGCCTGGGAATGGTCTTATTCATCACTTGGGACTTGACTAGCTTTTTTTCAGTTGCAGGCAGTTTAAGCTTTGGGTTTAACTGCTTTTCTGCTTACTAGGTCACAGCAGTCTTAGCAAAAGGTAAACTTACCTACAGTCTTGCCAAGTACTGTTCTTTACAGTAAGTGTAGAGTGGACTGAAACTTTTTGAGCCAACTGAATCTGCATCAGAACTAGTAATTAATTTTGGCAATCAGCTGTGCACATTGCAAATGTGTTGTATAATGCTATTTATTGACTTCTAACCATTCCCAGTGTCTCTGCCTCAGATGTAGTCTTTGTAGTATCTTAGAATTGTCCTTTGGCTTTAATAATGCACATTTTCCCCTCTGAAAGTTTTAGAAGCTGTGCTGTGCGACTCTGTTAACTCTTTCATGGACAGCATTGCAGATGATGTCAGATATTACGATGGTTTTCTTATTCATAAGTGTTCCATTGGTAAAGAATTTAAAAAGTAGGTACTTTCAAAAGTTTCTGAATACTGTGGGATACACAGTTCTCTAGTCAGTCCTCATCCCTTCAGGGCTTGTCAGTATTTCCAGTAAGTAATTCCTCCCAAATAATCCATCTTGAATTTACTCCTATCAAATCCCACTTGCTCAAACAAGCGCTTTTCTCCTTTTTCATCCAGCTATAAAGTTTGGAAACTCTTAGACTTCATGGGTGCTCCTGTCCATAATAAGCCATGTTTCAGGAGGAGGCCCAGCAGGAGAGGGATGATCATAACTTGTGGCCCTGAATGGGCTAACTTCTGACTTCTATGTGATGTTTCCAGCACCTTTTTTTTTTCCTAAGTATGTCACCAGGTAGTATGCCTAGAACACAGAGTATGTACCACCATTGCAACTGTCTTGTCAGATTCAGCTGAGCACTTGCTACGATGAACATACATTAGAGATGTAGTGAAGGGACGTAATACCGAATGAAAAAGACGATGCCAACAGAATATTGGTCTCAGAACCCTTGTGTTTGGAATTTAGTCCAAGCCATTACGGTTAGTAAAGTCACATTTTTTCTTTGTTTAGTAGCCCGTTTTGATAGCTTTCAGAAAAAGAAGACCAGCAGCTACTGGGACAAGTATTGAGAAAGGTGTCAGAAATGGTGGTGTTGAAACTCCTTTCTCATTGGGTGTCACCTCTCATCTAAACAATATGATGACCTCATGTCATTAATCAGTCAAATATGTTTCTTTGGAAAAACTCTCTTTTTTTTCATTTCAACCCATAAGTTGACAAGTTTCAAGGAATCAAGCATGTGTCTCTTCAATAAACTTTCAGTCTCATAGTAACCTGTCTAAACCTGAACAGCTTACCTATTTAATACAAAGTTTTGACTGGAAACTACTAGGGCTTGTGCTTCACCCATGGAAATAGCAGCCTACTTTATTATGTTTTTTGATTTTTAGATTTTCTTGAGACTTTTGAAGAGGTGAAGAAGCAGGAATTGGAACGAAAGGCCCAAATAGAAGCTAACATTGTTGCACTCCTGGAGCACTCAAGCAGAGTAAGTTCATTTCCCTCCATCTGTGGCAAGCCAGAAGTTTAGAATCACAGAAATAGGAGAATGAAGAGATGCAGAAGAATGTGTTTTATGTATTATCCAGTCAGTATCTACATAACAATCTCTTAGGGCGAATAAGCATTAAAACATATACAGCTGTAGTTAAACAATGAACACTCAAACAATAAAAATAATTTAATTTATTTATGGAGAAATAATTTTTAATATTAGATGGTACTTGTGACCAGAATAAAAGAAATGCTTGCATAATAGCTGTAGCCATCATCATTGCAATAATAAACATTATTCCATTCCTGATAAGCATTTCAGAATATTGCGAATAAAACTACTGCAATATTTTGTTAACCTGAAGTCTACAAATTTCAGTTCGTCAGTATTATGTCACTACTATTAAGTAACTTACAATATTCCTGTCATCTCTCTGATCTACTAACATTACATCTGGAATACCCTACTGTGTAATATTTATTGTAAAAATTATAGAAATTGTTCCCATTTGCAGTCTGCCATTTTTTTTGCACTTTCAAAACATTTTTTTCTTTTAACATTTTTGGTTCCCATGGGTTTTTTTCTTACAGAAATCATTCAGCTGAGTAGTACTTTGATTACATCATCACTTGTCTTCTCTTTCAGTATGGTATGCCATAAGGTGTATTTCAGGCAATGACACTTATTTTAGAGTAGAGATTGATACAGCAACACACTTAGTACTTGCAACACACTTTATACTTGCTTTCTTTTTCATCTTCGCTAGCCTGTCAGCACTTTTTTTTGTCAAAAGCTGGCAGAATGAAAATAGTTCACATTTATATCACTTCAGACTCTTTCCAATATTTTGAATCTTTGTAGAAGAAACACCAAGTAATAGACAATGTATTAGGACTGGAGAGCTTTTACTTGTCTAGTTACCGTTTTTTATTTCAAAGATACAGCATGTTCTCATTATTGTTATTTGTAACACACAGAATGTGAATCGTATGAAACAAATTTCATCTGTAACCAATCAAGAGCTGAAGATTATGCAGGAAGACCTCTCTTTCAAATCAAATGAAATGCAGAAATCACAGAGCACTGCTAAGAATCTGCTTATAGGTGAGATCAGCAATGAATTTCAAATTAATTCCTTAAAAGTTGTTCTTGAGTTGTTACACTAATAATAAGAACAAGATCAGCAACAAGTTGACAAATTGAAGCCCTTGTGGTAGCAACAAGTCAGTTATATTCCTCAGGAGCATTTTGCTTACTACCAGTAAATTATCAGCTTCATTGCACAGGTAAATGTTAAACAGAGTGTTTTAATTTGAGCTAAAAGTTCAACTTTACTAATATTCACCTTCAAATAAACATTTTTCACAATCTTAAAATAATGTTTAATTAAATTGAAGCAGAGACTTCCACAGTTACCTTACCATATATTATTTGTAAATGTAGCTCATAGTATCACCTGTGTATGGTTTGTTTATGTGCTTTAGGAGAATAACTGGCACCAACAGGGAATAGCTCTCAAATTCTCAGACTTTAACGCTGAAAAGTGAATATTCATTTTTATTTCATTTTGGAAATACTCAAATACTTAAAATTAAGTATCAGAATCTCCTGAATCTTAGCTGTAATTTCAAAAAGCAGACAGTATTTTTCTTTCAATCCTGTAACAAGTATCTATTTAGTTCTGTATTTGCACTGCTTATAATGGAATTTATATAATAATTCTAAGCCTTTGCCAATATCATTATTGGTTCAGCAAGCCTTTCCTTGTTATTTTGGCAGAAAGAAGGGTGCAGAAATTAAGAGCTGTAAATCATGTTAGAAGGCTATTACATGCTGTACTTGGTAGTAGTTTTCAATGTATGAACCTGTGTTGTGACTTTAAAGTTACGTGCAAAAAAGAAGTTGTTATGTAGATAATATAAAAATGTATTGTTTTGTCTGAAAATACTAATTTTGATTTCTAGTATAGTTTAAAAAGCTGAGCCATATATTACAAGTTAAAAAATGACTTCTTGTTCTTCCACGTGAGCATCAGTTCTTATTACTTCACAATATATGGATATTCTGGAAGGACATAGCATTACAAGCATATTTTTGTAAGCTTTATTTCTTCTTTGCAAGGGGAGAGAAGGAAGTTACAGTATGTAATTTTCAGCAGATCGTTTAAATTATTCATAACTAAATGTCTGAAAGCAAGGAGTCACAAATATTGTAATAAACAACTTAAAAGTCTTACTAAAATAATGTGAATGTTTAATCTGGGCAGGTGAAGTTCTCCTTAATCCCTGAATTATAGCACAGTCAGCTTCAGGATTCATTTGTTGTGATTAAAGTCTGGATTTCTGTAGTTTCTTTCTGTAACAAAGATATAGAAAGTCCAGCAGCAGAACCTTAAAAAAAAAAAAAGAAAAAGGAAAAAATAAAATAAAATAAAATAAAAGGAAACCATGAAGAATAAACAAAAGTGCTGATGGCATAGTTTCCCAAAAACATTTCCCTGGGTCACCGTAGTTTCGTCTGAGAGTTTGCTACTGTGTACACACTGCCTTGCTAGACGCTGCAACTTCATGGCGTATCAGAAGGAACTGGGCTGCATCCTCTTCCTGTATTTTCCCCTAGAGAAGTTTTGAGGCTTTTTAGTTTTGAGGTTTTTTTCCTTGAGGCTGTTCCTGGTTAAGGATAAAATTCAGCCCTTCCAGTTTTTTCCATTTTCTCCAGAATGTATAGGGATAGTCCACTGCTGTCCCACTATCAGTTTTTATCAGTATATAGATAGAACAGTCTAAGAAGCCTTTTTTGGCTTTTTGGCTTTTATATTGTTACTACTTTTTACATTAAAATAAATCCTGGTTAGTCAACAATGTGTTATTTTAAAATAAGAAACTATAAATATTAGAACAACCATAGAAAAAGTGAAAATGTGGTAATTAGGCCTGAATAAAATCTAAAGTTGTTTTCTGCTATTTTTCTTGAATTTGAATAATTTTTTATTTTATAATTCTACTTTTTTACTATTCTTAATATTAAAGCCCTCATTCATTGACTTAATTTAGCATTTTCTTTAAACCACAGTGCCATAGGAATAAAAGAAGGAGGGCTGTGCTCTATTCAGTAGTGTTTTAGGATCTGATACTGACCAATACCAGGAACTTCAAAATCAAACTATGGGCAGTTATGAAATATTTTAGACACAGAGAAAGTGTTTTCTTAAGTCTTTTAGGGTGAAAGGCAGCATAAGCATGGAATCACAGAGATGCAATGTAGGTCCAAACATTTTCTTTTTAAACCTTCTTTTTACCAGAATAGAAATTTTAAATACTTATACAAGTGCTCTTTGCCCTTAAAGGACCTTTTCAATCTTACATTATGGAAGTGTGTTTATTGGGTTAATTACATATTGTACAAAAAAACTTGTACTGTATTTTTATCTTGAGATTTCTAAAGAAATCATCAAGGCACTATGAAATAATCCAGAAGTGTTGATTAAAGCAGTATTTTGCTCTAAAAAGTGTGGCATAAATACAGGAGACAAGAGATGAGTTCTGAAGTTTTGCTATGACAGGGTTTTAATCATGTGAGATTTACCCAAATAATTCCACTAAGGAAACTGTACCCACAGTTTTTGGTAAGGTGAACTTTTCCTTTGTCACATATGCACATCAAGTCCCTTCTGCTGTAAAGATCTCTACTGTCTTGGTTAAGTAGGTGGAAAAATTTCTTATCTTTTTTCCGATGATCAGTACAAATCTGAGCGAAATTTATAGTCTGTGTCGAGAGAAGTTTCTTTGTGCTCATCTTTGTGTCTCATCTCTTCCAGTAGCCCACTTTGCTTAATATTTCAGAATGTAGAGAAAAAGCCTGCATTTTTGGTATCATTCGTATGAATTAGACACAGCTCTGAAATGTATGTTTGTATAGCCATGTATTTAAATGTTCAGGAGCATAAAGAAAATACGATGACAAGGCTGCATGTCAGAAAACCATCCCAAACAAGTCTAGGCACATCTAATCCTTTCACATTCAGGGTGGATAGGATCCCCAAAACTGGATTGAGGTCTATATTTTATTTTGTGTATCCTCATTGTGTCTTCTTTTAAGCATCTCAAATCTGAACAGTTTCAGTCTTTACATCTCTCCTCATACAAGAATCCATCTATACTTCTAACTCTTTAATTACCTGTAACTATGTTGTTTCTTTTTAATGGATCTTGAGAAGTAAATGCCATTTATTGTAGCACATGCTGATTTTGTAAGCTATGACAGTTCTTATTTTGTGGAGATACGGAAGTACTTTCCTGAATGTTTAAAGCAAATTTGGCTATTTACTCTCATCAAGTTAAGTGTCATCTTATAAAGACAACACAAATAAAAACAACATGATGCTAAAAAACTAACAGAGATAATTTTTTCAGTTGTTTGCACTGTTGCTGTCAACTTTTTGTAAGGTATCTCCTCTGCTTTAAGACTTGAAATTGACTGATGCTATAAACAACTTTAACGATAGAAATACCACACTGGGACAGAAAATCATCATGTTTTCATTACTCTTTCTTATGGAGTATAATACACTAGGTGTGATTTAGGAATCTGACTTACAGGATGATTGTAAGACCAATTTTTTTCCTTCATTCACATTAGCATTCCCATGAATATCAAAATCAGAAAAGAGCTGTTTATATTGCTTAAGCATAGCATAAACCTTTCTGTATTGGGCAATATATATATGTATATATTATGAAATAAAAAGTACTGTTAATTAGAGATTGTGTATCTGGTGATCTAGAGATTCAAAAACTGCAAATGGACCTACAGAAGATGGAACTCTTGGAGGGCAAGATGGTAGATGAAGTGGCTTCTCTTAAAGGCAAAATTGAACAAACAAAATTGGATTTGGAGGTCTATAATAATTTGCCAGCTCTGAAAGCATCAGGAGAAGATAAGATAAAGGTAATTGAAGGAATGAAACCTTGGATTATACAGAATTTTGTAGTTTTCAGCATCTAATGGAGGGGAATCTGGGTCTGTGACTGGGAATCCTGACTGATAGGTGAAAGCTGGCCTTGCACAGCCGTGCAAATGAATCAAAATGCTTCTCTGCTTATAGATGTGACTTATTAACTATATGTAGCAGGCTATCAGCTGGATACTTTTTAAACTTCTATCCACAGAATTTCCTGTTTATTTTAGAATTATAGAATGGTTTGGGTTGGACCTTAGAGATCTCCTAGTTCCAACCTCCTACATGGGCAGGGATAACTCCCACCCACTAGACCAGGTTGCTCAAGGCCTCATCCAACTTGGCCTTGAACACTTCCAGGGAGGGGCCAGCCACAGCATCCCTGGGCAACCTATTCCAATCTGGTTTAGTGTTTCATCTGAACTTTCTACTGTAAGACACGACTACCCTTAAGTTTGAATGTAGCAATCTAACCACAGAATCCCCAAAAAAGGAAAAATCAATTCTGTATTTGCTCTTACGACAAACTATGTAGAGTTCTTCTCATTTCACATGTGATAAGTTTACTACAAATTCTTAACATCAGCACTCCTCCTTGCATTGATATACTAAGCTTACAACTTGGCCAGAACCATAACCATTGAATGTTTCTCTTCTGAAAAGAAGAAAAGTTAGCATCTTGAAAACTACATTAAAATAATTTTTCTGTAGACTACAGCAAGTGAACACATCCATTTATCAGTTTGTATTGTTTTTTTTAACAACTAGAGGCTCCAGGATGACAAAGAGAAGCTAACAAAACAAAGACATGCTTTCAAGAAAATAATTGAACACTTGAATACAGAGTATGAGACAATAATGACAGAGCTTCAAGAGAATGAGACATATTCTCAGGTATAACTTAAGCTACATATTATGTCTTCAGCTGCTTACATGACAGATTTGTTTTTCTCATATGTATGAATGATTGTATGGACAGAATCAGTTTGTTTCTTCTCAAGGAGTTTTCAAAGTTATGTGTTATAAATGCATAGCCATCTTTTCTTTTTTTCAAGGAAAAGCTATATGCCAATAAATTTCTCTTACGCTCTGGATTTCAAATTTACTAGGCAGAGGTCATTCTGAGCTTAAAAGTTGTACAAAATCTTTGTTGAAATGTTTGTACTAATTTTGCTCAAAACTTTCCTTCTTTTGCTGTTCCATTGCTTGAGGAGTTTTGAGGACCAACTTAGAAAGAAACTACAGTGGAAAAAAAGTCACTACTAATTAGATAAGATCTCGTTGCTTTTAAAGTTATGATGGTAAGGGTTTTTTTTGCAACTTGTACTAATAATTACATTTCCGTTTTTCCAGTCCCTGTGCTTCTTGCAGATCACTGAAGTTTTCGGGTTTCTTCAGACTTTTTTATACTGAAGGAACTTTGGTATATGAATATGTTTACATTTCAGAAGTGTATCAGGAAAAAAGATGTTTATAAACTCTTATGCAGCTTTGATTCTTCCATTGTAAACATCCATAAACTGCTGTCATTTTTGCAACAAAACTTGACCGCTATATGGGTTTGACTGCACAGAAGGAAAATAAATAACCACAAAATAAGCTGAAAAATGGAAATTGATTATTTTCTCTGCATTTCACTGAATTTTTCTTTAGAACTGTTACTTTTTTCTAATTTTATTAAAAGCTGAACAGGTTATGTAAATCAGAAACAGACATACAGGTATTAAAATACTTGCATAATGTTTCTAAGAATTTTATATAAAATTGTAGTTGTACACTTGTACACCATTTCTTCACTTCATTCAACTGTGGCAGTTCTATTTCAATGTGGTATGTATCAGACAGTATTTTAAACTTATGCTTCTTTAGTGTCTGCATTGCATGTAGCAGCATCTACAAAAGGAGCAATAAAAATTATAATTGGTCAGAAGTATTGAATCTTGGAAATAAATTACTATGTTTGCTGTGACAGGCACCCTAGAAAACTGATTCTTTGTAAGATTTATTTTGAGTAATATACAACATATTTTCATATCTCCCAGTTTAAGAATTAAAATGTTGCAATATTTTCCTGATTCACTACCTTGGTTTCCTCTGAAAGTTTAGTCACAGAATGATTTTCAGTTTTTATGTTTCAAAATAGCATGTACCGTATCTTGAAATGCAGAACCTTGAACAGTAGCATCAGAAAAACAAATATTATAAAATTGTATTGTCAGGAAGCAGCCATCAATATAATGTCCACATTAGTTTCCTGTTGATGCTGAAAGTATTGAAGAAGTGCCAGCACTTAACCCACACTCCTACAATCTTCTTGCTGCAGCTCTGTTCTTATCACAGCTTCTGGCATCAGACAGGAAACTTAACTATGGAAGTAAGGAAGTTTCTTCCATATAGCTCAAAGTCCAAGGCAGTGTCAGGAAGTATTGTATCTTTGGTCATTTTAGATCTTGCTGATTTTAAGTAGAGATCATTTAAATGATATGAAGTATAATGAGAACTAGTATCTCCCTACAGTGTTCACCTTTTTACTTCTGACTTGCTTAAATGTTTTCCGTGTGACAAGGCTTGAATTCTCATCTGATTTTTCCATCTACCACTGCAGTTGCAGGCAGTTCTTTTATATAAATAGATGTATGAAGTGCTATACTATATGCAGGTTAATCACTGGCCGCTTTAAAAATAATTTTGCCATTGCTGCTCATTTCTGTGAGTTTTTTGGGAAATAACTTTGATCTTATCAGGTTCTGATACAATGTTTTTGGGAGAGTCTTTGTATAAAGTTACGTGTGTAATAATTGTCGTTTTCATTTTTGGCTGTTTTTGTGTTTTCAGCTTACAAATTTGGAGAGGAAGTGGCAACACCTTGAGCAAAATAACTTTATGATGAAGGAATGTATCCTTTGAGAAATACAGTAAAATTCATGCACTGTATTAATTGAGGAAGAAGTCTGTTTCCTCCAGCAGAATAAGACAGGGCAAAATGGGGAACAGCAGATGGGAGGAGGGGAATGTCCATGCTTTGCCAATGTCTGGTTAGCTGATAGATATTACATATAGCAAGACTTGCATGTGTTGTCTGAAACAATTCTGTGATGTCCTAAAGTGTAAGATTTGTCTGGTGTTTTTCCTTAGCATTGCCATTGGGTTTCACATGAAGATCATCTTCACAGCTGTCCAGTCTTATATGAAATTATCTTGCAAGTGTAGCATTGCTTGAAAATCTGATGACTTTGCATGGTATTTTCCCATTTTGAAACACCATGAATATCAAGGATGAAAAAATAAAGAACACATGTCATGCATTTAATCTGTTTGTTATAAAATAGAAAAGGAATTGTATATTAGAGGGGAAAAATAGCAGATAAATGTGGTAAGATATGACAAGGAGATGCTTTAGCAGCAAAGTGGATTGGAATGGAGAACTGCATTGTAGCTTTCTCATGTGTGATGGTAAATAAAGGATTGCATTCCGCTCATCATGTAAAACCTTCCCAAAACATCAACAAAATCTTTTTTTGCTGCAAGTGCCTTTCATAAGGTAGTTTCTGAACTTAGCAAAAGCACTGGATTGTTTTTTATTAGAATGGACTGTTCTTCTTAACTTGAACTATTCTTCGTGGTTATTGCACATATCCGATTAGGGCATAGTGGCACTTTTATTCTGTGTTGTAGAGACTCTGAATTCACTGCAATAAATATGCTTCTCTAAAATGATTTAGGGAACAAAAATCTGAAATTTCAAAGATGCATAGAATCAATGTTTACAATTATAGAAAAAATACAATTGACAAAAACAACAGCAAAACTAGATTGTATCATCCAGTGTTGTGTGCTGGACAGTGGACATTGCTACATGTCTCAGAAAATGTCAGAAGAATATATTTCAGGAAATTCTGTAAAAAAAAGTCTTGAATAACAGAATGTAATTGGAGCTGCCTCTTCTATGAAGAAGGCTTTACAAGAATATTTCATTAAGGCAAGAGTCTCAGGTCTTATCTTTTCTATCAGAAAAAAAGACTTTAAGACAAACCAAGAGAAGAATTTGATCAGGATATTGAAAGTGCCTCCTGACTTGCTACAACATATTATCTATCCAAGGGCAGGCCCTTACATAGAGTTTTGTGTCTTCTTGGGCTAGTGGAAAGAGACATCCTATTTGCTTGGGCTGGGGACTTTGTTAGCTGGAATTCTAAAGTGCCAAACTGTGTGGCTTTAATAGCTGGGTGCATTGAAATGGTTTTCTTTGCAGTGTAACAATTGGCAGAGTTTTGCTGCAGTGACCTTTGGCCTATATATGTGAAAACAAAACTGTCTCAGGCTTGTTATCTTTTTTTTTTTTACCATGCTTGGCATGAGATGGCAGCTAGTAAACTGGTGCAAATGTTTTAGACCCAATTTGAGCTTTTTTCCATTATTTGCAACCCTTGACAGTTTTCACAGAAGGAAATTTACTGTATTGTCGTTGCCTTATGATCTCTAATTATGCTAATATTTATATTGGCAGCTTGTTTCCTTAATTCTTTTAATCAGTCATAGCAACGAAAAGTCAGGAGAGTGACTACCAGCCAATAATGAAGAACGTGAGAAAGCTTGTGAAAGAACACAATAAAGCTGTCATAGAAGCTTTACAGAACACCAAGAACTGAACAAAACTGAGTTTCCTACAGTTCCTGGAAAGGTTTCTTCCTCCTCTTGTAGGCAGGTTTTTTTACTATGCAAGGAGTTAGATGCTTGTATTGTTCCTTTTCTGGTTCTGTTCTGGTTTGCTTGCTTTCCTTAGTGACAACGCTAAAATTAACTACCTCTTCCCATTCTTCCTCACCTACACTTACCACCAGGGACCCAAGTTCATGACCTACTTCCAATACATTCTACGTGCTGGGGCATCTGCTGTTCTCCAGATCCCTTATGTCTAGAGCCTTCACTTCCCCCCAGTCTCATACTTCTTTTCATGCCTTGATGCCTTAATTTGTCCCCAGAAATTAATGGCATGGCAGATCTTAAACCATCACCCTTTGCATGGCCAAATTTCCTACTTATCTTGATAAGTAGGAAAGTCCTGACACCTCTCCAAGGCTCAGCTTTCTTCTCAAAGACTTGCAGAGGCAGATTTTCCATGTTGTTACCAGACAGCACCACAGAGTTGCCAGTGGCCATTGAGACGTCCTGTGCTCCCAAGGATATTGTAACAGTGCTCTTAAGGTAGAGCATTAAGAGGGGATATTAACTGGACTGGCTGGTTATGCAACTGTTTTAATGGACTACAAACTGAAGGGCCACATTTTAAAATATTGATAGTAACACCTGTCATTAGCATGAACTAGAAATGTTCATCTCCAGTATCTGAATGCAGATGTCCTTTGTCAATTCAAACTGACTTCAGTCCTGCATTGTTGTCTTCAAGTTGCAAACTAACAAGTACAGTCAGTTTCTGAGCCAGTGTAAATACATCCACACAGCTAATTAATAAATTCTATTTTAAAAGTTATTTCAGTGTGTTAAATTTGGTGCACTTTTCATCTTGAGCTGAGTTAGTCACTGTCACAGTTTGACTCAGGATCAGCAATTAAACCAATGACAACAACGCTCTCAATCCCCTCCTGCTCCCACCCAAGTAGGGAAGGAGAGAGAGAGAGAATAAGGAGAGGAACTTTCCAGATTGAAAACTAAACTCAGCAGCTTTAATGAAATACTAATGATAGAAGAAAATATGTACAAATACATACAAATATGTGCAGGAATGTGAAAACCTCTATCACTCCCTGAGCTGTGAACTGTCCCAAAATGTCGTGGAGCTGCCGGAGAGAGCGGCAGAGCAGACAGGAGCGGAGGGGAGATTGACGAGGGTGAGAAATGCATGGGCCTGGGGATCAATGGTGATGGAGAGATGGAGTCTTCCCTGGATGCCCACCATGGATGGAAGAAGAAGGAAGAAAGAGAGCACGAGGGCCGTAGATACAACTGTTCGGCTCCTTTAGTGTCCAAAGCAGCAGGTTCAAGAATCGGAGCAAAGTAGCTCTCAGCAATAACTATAAACATTCAGGCCTTACCAGTCCACCAGCTGGAAAACTTGTTAAGTTTCAGCAAGTGTGCTGCTTAAAAGAGAGTTCACTGAAGAAAAAAAGAAACAGTAAAAAGGAAATTGACTTCATCCTGGCTCAAACCAGGACAGTCACAGATATAAAATATATGTAATGATTTTGCTTTTGAAAAATAATTTAATTTTCTTTTTATACCAGAATTTTCCTAATATTTTTTCTTAGTATTTGTTTTCTAACTATATTCAAAATCAGAGACCATGTTTTTGTTTTTTGGTTTTTGTTGTTTTTTTTTAAAACAGGTTTTTACCTTTGTATAACATGTTAAGTGACAAACCTGTTTTAAAAACCAAAACATCGGGCCAATTAACAAGGGCACACAATGCTTCTAAACCTTTAAATAAACAATAATTTAGCTTCCTTTGCTATAATTGTGTTACAAGTGCTTTTTTCCCCAATGGTATGTGTTACAAGCAATAAGTTAATCACATTTCTATAAACAATCATCGTATTTCTTGAAAATGTAATTTCCATGCTGTTTTCTAGATTTAGTAATACAATCCATCCAGTCTACCTGCTGTCTACATCCTCTTGCCTCATACAACAGTTTTTAAAAAATGTTTAATTCACAAATTCACCATGCTGTAAACAAAACAATTAGAATTTTTTATTTTCCCTATCTACTGCCACTGCATTAGCCAGCCCGAAGACCATGGCAAGAAGACAGAGCTAACTTATGCTTCTGACAGAACAGCTTCCTCCCACCCCTTATACCCCTGCTCATTGTTTTGGTACTTCCTTAGTAAAGCACATGATTCATTTAAAACCTAGGAGTCATATGCATTTAAATTATATGCCTAAAAGATACTGAGCATTCACTTGTGTTCTATGAATACAGAATCTAATTTAGTACTTGCATACCAGAAAGTTAACTTCTGCTGTCAAACAACTCAGAAAGAAAATAGTCTGAATTAAACAGTCAAAGGGTAAGAATTTGATTATGTGAAAGATTATTTGATTATTTGAAATCATAGCCAAAATCATTATGATGGAGATTTAACAACTGCTTTTGTGATGGAGTGCATTTATTGCTCTTCATGTTCCCATCATTCAAAATGAATGAGCTCTGGGACTGGATCTAACACATCAATTTCACAAGAACATTCATCAATATGAATGGGAAGCAGGAATTGACAGTATTTGCTCTTTCCTAGAGGCCACTGTCCTTCAAAAGCCAAATGTATCCTCAGAACAGTGGCTCTCTCTGCCTATTACAGCTCACTGTATTTAGTGACACTAACTGTGAAGTACTCACACTCTCAAATGCAACTAAATACGTTGGTTTTTTTTCAGATTATTAACTGAAAAAAGGCTCTCTAGAACAATAAAAAGAGAATGGCCACTTCGCAGCTCCTCCTCCCAGTGCCTTCTGGACTCAGAGATATTTCTGTGCAGACCTCTGAAGATGATCAAAGTTAAACATGCACTGAGTTTTGTTTCCTTACAGAGAAAATTGCTGTTTGGTATCATCTGCAAACTCACTGAGGAAGAATGCAATACCTTCATCTAGATCGTTGATAAAGATATTGAACAAGACTGGCCCCAAAACTGAGCCCTCAGGACACCACTGGTGACAGGCTCCAAACTGGATTTAACTTCATTCATTACAACTCTCTAGGCTTGGCCACCCAGCCAGTTTGTCACCCAGTGAAGAGTGCAGCTGTCTATGCCATGATCTGCCAGCTTCTCCAATGAATGCTGTGGGAGATGGTGTCAAAGGCTTTGCTAAAGTCCCAACAGAAAATGTCCGCAGCCTTTTCCTCATCCACTATGCTGGTCACCTGGTCATAGAAGGTGATTGGATTGTTAAGCAGGACCTGCCTTTCCTAGCTCACACTGGCTAGGCTTGATCCCCTGGCTGTCCTGCACTTGCCACGTGAGTGCACTCAAGATGAACTTCTTATTTTCCCCAGTACTGATGCCAGACTGACAGGCCTGTAGTGTCCCAGATCCTCCTTCTGGCCCTTCTTGTAGATAGGCATCACATTAGCCAGCCTCCAGTCATCTGGGACCTTCCCTGTTAGCCAGGACTGCTGATAAATGATGGAGAGAGGCTTGGCCAGCTCCCCCATCAGCTCCATTATGAGATCCACTCTCAGGTGGATCTCATCCAGCCCCATGGTCTTGTGAATGTCCAGGTGCTGTAGCAGGTCCTTAACTTCTTCCTCCTGGATTATGGAGAGTTTGTTCTGCTCTACATCCTTATCTTCCAGCTCAGGAGGCTAAACACCCTCAGGGCAGCTTGTCTGACTATTAAAGAGAGAGGTGAAAAAGGCAATAAGCATTTCAGCCTCTTCCTTATTAAGAAAGGAAAGGTAAAAGTGCACAGGATGCAAAAATCACGTATGCACCAAGCATCCATTTTCATTTCAATAATAAATAAGGCCATGCAAAAAGCTAGTTTAATATATGAAGAAGGCACGTACTCCTGTTACTAGTTTAGCTGACAGAAGAAAAAATCTACTAGAACTGCTGGCTTAGCAAAGATAACCAATGAGGTGATGACAAAATTCTGGGTTTTCTCAGTGTGATTTGTAAAGCTATTAACCACTCACAGTGCTCATTAATTCATTATACTCAAAGGCAACATTCTCTAGCAATTAATCTTCTCATGTATTTAGGCAAAATAAGGAAATCACAAATAATCTAACACTATATAATTAGGTAACAGAGCATACAAGCAATTAAAAGATTCAAAACAATTGCGGCAGGAGCAATTCTGACATACTTTTATAATTTAGTACTCTTAGGGGCATGTCAGGTGAACTTTTGGGGATTAAAAAAGACCATATATCATAGAATCATAGAGTGCTCTAAGTTAGAGGGGACCTTAAAGATGATCTAGTTCCAACCTCTCTACATGGGCAGGGACACCTCCCACCAGACCAGGTTTCTCCAAGTCCCATGCAACCTGGCCTTGAACACTTCCAGGGATGAGGCTTTCAGAACTTCCCTGGGCAACCTGTTCCAGTGTGTCGCCACCGTCACAGTAAAGAATTTCCTCCTAATGTCTAACCTAAATCTGCCCTTTTCCAGTTTTGATCCATTACTTTTTGTCCTCTCACACTTCAAATGTAACAGCACTTAGAATCATTAAGGTTGGAAAAGACTAAGATCATCAAGATCATCAAGTCCAGCTGTAGAGTATAATGGTAATATTAGCATACCTTTCCGGTTCAAGTAGCAATTTGTAACAAATAAGGCAAAACATTTAAGGATGAGACAGAATTGTTTGGTAGTATATCATCTTACAGTAAAAGCAAATGTACTTTGGATCTGTAAGCAAATTTTTATTTCCCAGTGGAGAACTGATGAGCTTCCTTATTTTTATTTTTTTAATGCAATTAAAAGGAGAAAACTGTGATTAAAAAACAGTGAAACATAGCCAATACTTTCCTTATGTGGAGGATTTTACTTTTGTACTATTAGCCAATAAAGGAAATAGCAGGCAAAATAATTTGCATTTTCTACATTTTTTTTCCCCAGGTTTCAAGCTGCAGTGCCATATGAAACCTTTACTTTGACAAAAATACATAGAAAGAAATTTA